CAAAGCTACACAGAGAAACCCTGTCTCGAAAAACCAAAAGAAAAGAAAGAGAATTTTCCTTGGTGCCCCGCAGAGAGCAGCAAGCACAGCAGGGTGCCTGACTATCATTCTTCTTTAAACAAGACACATGCACAATGCCCTGCTCTCAGTGTAGGGGAGACTCCTCCTCCCTCCAACATGTGCACAGAGAAAAGGAATGTGCCAGAACCTACTAGTGGTAAATCCTCAAAGAAACCTTTGATTTATCTTCAGAGTCACCGTCCTAGAACTGTCTATAACCTTATCACAGACACCCTGGGTTACAGAAGGCTTGTGGGAACAGCATCAGCATGGGCCCTAACAAATAGACATTTACTGTGTGTGTGGTGGTGCTCACCTTTCATCACAGCACTTGGGAGGTAGAGAGAGCTGAGTTTGAGGCCAGCCTGGTCACATAATTAAAGTTCCAGGACAGCTAAGGCTACATAGTAAGACTGGTCTCAAAATAACCAAACAACAAAGACCCCCACGCGCCCCCTCCCCCAAAAGAATCGGTCAGAGTCTCCTGGTCAGAATTGAAGAAATTGTGTGGGAGACTATCTGAACATATTTTCTATTTGCAGGAACTTCATCTGGCAGGAAGGAAAGGGAAACTAGCAATCTGTAGCTGGGTAAACTGGTCCCGATGGATGGAGACCTAACCAAAAGTCCTTCTGGAAACTGCTCAGGAAGAACTGGTTTTGGGGCACCATGGCAAAGCCATGGACAGTGTTTTCTAAAAGACACCTCTTACAGTATCTCAGATAATTCTCTTGATATGTATGTTTTGGCAAAAAGAATAAAGACACACTAAAACCTTGAATGTGTTGGCGCATGCCTGTAATCTAACCACCTGGGAGACAGGCACCGGAGGCCAGCTGCAAGCATGAGGCCAGCAAGGACTGCATAGCAAGACCTTGTCCACAAAAGAAAGATAAGGAAAAAGAAGTACTGGATGACCGAGGAGCATGAGGGTCATACCAAACTTGACTTTTAACTCCACACGAGCAAGATGGCAGTGGAATTATAAAAGACTGAAAGCTGTTCTTACGCACGTTAGAGGGTGAGGGAGGGAGGGAGGGAGGGACGGAGGTCCCCTTGCTTTGCTGCTTCGTTTTAAACTCACTAATAAGTAATGGAGACCAGGCTGGGACTCACCGTGCTTACACTTGGAGCATTGCTGTCAGAGAGAAGAGAAGAGAACACATTAGGAAGAACACTTTGACCAAGAGCTCCGTGTCACACATGCAATGCCATGTGCTTCTGCTCACCATATGATTGCAGCCTCCGTTCTTCTCAATACAGATGTTGCACTTGGGACACTGAGGAGACAGAAGGGTGCCTGCCATTAGGCTCACACATCACCAGCCCAGCTCTAAGAAAAACTATACAAAACTCCAGGCACCCGTGCCCAATAGAAGCACTTCTGGGGAGGAGCATCTCCCTTAAATGTGGCAGGTCACTGAGGCTGGAACAGCAATGTAAGGAAATGAGGTCAGCGTGTTTGGCTCTGAGATAATCTGAGTACCAGCTGGGCCCCACTGAGTCTTCTACCATCTGTCCTTGCTCTAACACCACTCAGATTAAGCCCAGGCTGAGGCTGCAGAAAGCCTGCTGGTTGGGAGAACGGCCACCCTAGAGGAAGTCCTGGTGAGCTTGCTCGGACCCTGGCTTCTAGGAGAGGGTGTAGCAACCATCTCAGAACTCCTCTCACTTGAAAAAGGCCAGCAACCCAAGGACTAGTCTGACAAGGAGCCTCCCATCAGGGTGAAGCAGTCTATGGGTAGTTCTCAGTAAGTCAGTGAGTGAGTGCACAGGGAACAATGTATCCTTCTCCCAGGGGAAGACTTAACGAATACTGAGAATATGTGGGCTTGTAGTACAGTCTTGCTATTTATGAGCTAGGTAAATTAACCACTCCACTCCCAGGGCTATCAAAGCTTGGTACATATTCAATAACAATTAGGGTTTTTTCCTAATTGGTTCTCCTTTGGGTCAAACTTTTCTAAGTATTTTGGAATTTTATTAAAATAAATGCATCTGGGACTGGAGATGACTCAGCAGTTAACAGCACTTGTTGCTCTTGCAGAGGACCTGGGTTCAATTTCTAGTACCACACAGTGACTCAAAACCATCCATAATTCCGGTTCCAGAGCACCCAACCAGCATGCATGTGGTGCACATACAAGTATTCAAGCAGAACATTCATACACATAAAGTAAAAAAAAATTTATTAGTTTTTCTTTTTCTTTTTCTTTTTTTTTTAACCAGAGCTGAGGACCGAACCCAGGGCCTTGAGCGCTCTACCACTGAGAGCTAAATCCCCAACCCTATTATTAGTTTCTATTTTGAGACAGGGTCTCAGTTCCAGGACCTGGCTGTCCTGGAACTGTGATATGGATCAGGCTGGCCTCAATCTTATAGAGATCCATCTGCCTCTGTCTCAGTGCAAGGATTAAAGGTGTGGGCAACTATGTCCAGCATTTAAAAAAAAAAAAAATCCAAGGGTAAAAATTGATAAAACTATGGCTGAAAAAGAAAAAAAGGATGGCTGAGTGTCCAAAGTCTCTAATAAGCTCCTAGGCTGTGCTCTGCTCTCAGATGGCCAATCATGAGGGCAGAGCCCTGGGTAGCAACACTTGGGGAAGTTCCATTACAGGTAACACACAGTCCTTACGTCTTTAGTGTGAGCACTAATGTAGTTAGCGGTTTCAGAGTCATCTGCACACTTGGTGAGCCATTTCCGGATTGTGGCGCAGTCTGTGGGGGCGTGATACATCTGTCGACACTTGAAACTTAAAATTAGAAAAGAAACACATTCAAATATTCATCAAGTCAGGGTTTCATGTTTTAAATTTTCCTCTTGTTTGAGCTAACAGATCCTAAATTAAAGCTCTAGGCAAAAATGACTTTTTAAGGTCTTAGGGACTTTAATCACCCAGAATTATAATGAAACACATTATAAATGTTTTTTCAACTTGAGCCTGAGACATGCTCAGTAGGTCCACATGAAGTTTCACCTTAAACATCTTAGACTGTATTAACCCTTCCTGAAAGGAGTCAAATGAGCCCAGCTTTCTCCTCACCTTTCTTTTAGGTGCTGGAGACTAAACTCAAGGCCTTGGACTTTACTATGAAGCTACATTCCCTGCCCTGAGGCCAGGTTTGTGTGTTGTTTTGGGGTTTTTTTTTCCCCCTCTGGCAATAGGGCCTCATATCTCAGGGTGGCCTCCAAAGATTACCTTAAACTCATGATCTTTCTGCTTCTACTTCCTGAGTACCAGCATTACAGGCATGAGCCAAACATGCCTGGTTTATGTGGTGCAGAAGCTCAAACTCAAGGCTTTGTGTGCAACACAAACTCTACAAACTGAGCTACATCTTTAGCCTTCAGGTTTTGGGAAGGCAAGTACTCAGAAGGTACTCTGCAGAGTACCTTCATTTTGGTTTAATAGAACTGAAAGTTTTGGGAGTTTCTCTACACCTTCTGACTAGATGTGTATAAGGATGCACAAATGCCAGAACTTGTAAAATCTGACAAGAATTGAAGCTTAAAACAAAACAAAAAAAAATAAAAACAAAAACAGAGCTAGGACTCATGCCCCACCTCCTTGTCTAAGTCAAGGGTGAGGTGACAGGCGGAGAACAGACATGAGCCTCGGGAAAGAGCCACTCATGGGAGACAAAGGGTGCAGAGCAACTGTTCAGTTCTCAACTCTGGGGGACAGAGTCCCTCACTGTCCTGAAAGGCAGAAACCCATCCATCTTCCAGGGAAGTGCAATCAGGACAGACCTGGATTTAAACTGTGGCTCTGTATTTACTAGTAGGTTTATTTACCTTGTACCTTGATTTCCTCACTAGGATGGTGACAGAGGCAATCTCACAGTTGTGATATGTAGGGAAAACGGCTGGACAGCGCTCACCACTTGGAAAGAATTTGTTAAGTTTTGGCTATGTGCATGGAATTTACAGAATGAGAAATACCTCAGATGTACAATTCACTCATGGATCGGTTTTATAAGTCAGCCAGTACCAGTGGGGTGGCACAAAAAGTCAATACCAGCTCTGGGGGGAGGGGGGGCAGATCTATATGATCCCGAGACCAGCCTGGTCTACAAAGTAAGATCCAAGATAGCCAAAGTTATATAGCAAGACTCTGTCTCAAAACAAACCAAAACTAGACAAATAAACAAAAAAAGTTAGCTTAAGGGGTGTGGGGAATCTAGCTCCTCTGGTAAAGTGCTTGCCTAGCAGGCACACAGGCCTGACTTCACTCCCTAGCACCACATAAACTGGGCATGGAGAGGGCAGGTGAAGGAAGATGATGATCAGATGTTCAAGGTCATCCTTGGCTATACTGTGAATCTGAGGTCAGCCTGAGCTAAACAAGACCTTGCCTAAAAAATAAAAATAAATTTAAATTTAAAAAGTTAGCTAAGAAAAGTTCAAAACAGAGAAAGGTGAAAATGTTGAAGTCATATGTAAATTGTCAGTAAAGGTAGGCAATTTCTGGCTGTGAGTACAGTATAAACTTAACATATTCTTCAGGAACCTACTACTTCCTTGTCTCCAAAGTCTGTTCATTTATCAAAACATCCCAAGGAACACAAAATACAGGGCACATACGTGGCCACTTGGAGCAGAGTACTCTTCTAGACAGATATTCCACCTCTCCCAGCCCTGTCCTTATATCTAACAACATGGCTCTTTGGAGGAGATGGGCCACGAACCCAGGACTTCTCAGCACTCACTCCCTCTTACCAGAAGACCTCGTTGCATCGATTGCACTGCACTCGGCGAGCTCTGGGCTCCTGTACCCGAATAACCATGGGGCAGTCTGCACCAGGGCACAGCTGGAGCTGGTAATGACTCTGTGAACACACACACACGGAAAGGATGAGGGCATCTTCTAATTGCTGCCTCTCAACAGACTGTTCAAGTGCCTCTGTTCTTCTAGCTAATAACTTGTACCAAAGGACTAAATAAACTTAGGATGGATGTTGTGAAGAACTGATATTAACTAATTACTGAAGAGAATCTTTGTCTAGCTTAAAATAGGTACCCACTAATTTAAAGTTATTATACAAGAAGGTACCTGTAGGCTGGGAGCAGACATGTGTGCCTGTAGCTTTAGTTACTTAGCTACTTGGAAGACTAAGACAGAAGGATTGTTTGAGCCCAGGTAGTTAGCCTGGCCAACATAGGGAAAACATGTCTCAGGAAAAAATGTTTTGATGTGAACTGCATGAGAACACAGCTCAGTAACCTATGCATCTCACAGCTCACAGGCTCAAAGATCCCCAACAATCTACCCAAGGCAACAAATTATGCAAAGAAATAAGCCCAAGCCACAGTGGTGGCGCAGGCCTTTAATCCCAGTACTTGGGAGGCAGATGCAGGTGGATCTCTTTGAGTTCAAGGTCAGCCAGGAAATTCAGGGCTACAAAGAGAAACCTTGCCTCCAAAACCAAAACAAGAAAAAAAGAAGATAAAGCTTTGTGTTTATCCTGCATGTGTGCAAGACAACCACCAATCCAATAAGCTTTTAAACTAAGTAATAAAAGACAAAGATAAAAAATTATGCTGCACAGAATCTGTAAAGCTGGACAGGTAGCCTAAAAAGGGAAAAGAATCTAAAATGCTGGAATCATGAACAAGTTTTCAAACTGCTACAAAAGAAAACAGCCCTTCTCTGGGCTGAAGTGTGCAGATGAGTGTACAGAACCAAATGGAATCGCAACTCTTGGGCTATACCAGACCTATGCTTACTCCTCACAGAAGACGGCTTGCTCAGCTTGTTACATCAACTGTGTATACTTTGGGATGACTGCCCATATAATGGAAATGAAAACCAAGACTGAGGCCTAGAGAGATGGCTTAGAGGTTAAGAGCATTGACAGCTCTTCCAGAGGTCCTGAGTTCAATTTTAGAATCCACACGGCAGCTCACAACTGTCTGTAATTCCAGTTCCAGGGAACCTGACATTCATGGCAAAACACCAATGCACATAAAATAAAAATAAATAATTAATTAAAAAGAAAACCAAGATTCGGGTAAATTAATAAGCAAGTGGTCTCATAACAAGGAAGTAACAGATCTGGCATTTACACAGTGGTTTTTCTGACCCCAAAGCCTTTATTATATATTTTTATATTAAATTATGTGTTGGTAAGTGGGGAGTGGGTGGGTATATGCATGAGTGCATGAGTGCAGGTGCCTTTAGAGAGGTAGAAGAGGGTGTCAGATCCCCTGGAGCAGGAGATATACATGGGACATCAGTGCTGGGAACTAACTCAGGTCCTCTAAAAGAGTCTCAACTTGAGCCCTTTCTCCAGCCCCAAGAACTATGTGACTCACCACCCACAATCCAATGGCAGCTGTGATTATAATGTATAAGGTAGGCTCAGAAAGACAGGACAAAAGAACAGGGCGCTCATACCTCCACATAGTCCCTAAAGAGGTAGCGCCTGTATTTATCTCTTAATTCTTCATTGGGAAGCAAGGGAAATACAAAGTCCTCTGGTGTTCGGAGTGGACAATCCTGAGCCATACATGAGACTCCTGTTGAACAAAGGAAATGTGATGGATAATCATACTGCAGAAGACGTAACACAATATACTTACTTACCCACTAGGTTCAATCAATACATTCTAACTTCATATAGGAATTCTGCCCAAAATATTTATCAAGAATTTTTTCAAAGAGAGAAATTAACATGTTTTCATAGTAATATAACAAAAATATTGTGCCCAAATACCCATATATTAGCACAAGCACCACTAAATAAAACCATAGGGTTGGATGTAGTGGCTCACATCTTTAATCCCAACATTAGGGAGACAGAGGCAGTGGCATCTCAAAGAGTTTGAGGCCAACCTGATTGACATAGTGAGATCCAGGCCAGCCAGGGCTACACAGTGAGACCTGCCTCAAAAATAAATAAAAACAAAAAATTATTATAGACTTAGTGACTAATATGACTAATGATTTTATTGTATCATGTACATGTGATTATCACTAATATACTGACATTTTTATGTTTTCTTTTTTTGGGGGATATGGTGGAGAGGGGACTATTTCATGTAGTCCAAGCTAGCCTCAAACTTGCTATGTGGCTGAGGCTGGCCTTGAACTCTTGATGCTTCTGCTTCTTCCTCCCAAATGTTGGGATGACAGGCTTGTACTACCATGCCCAGGTTAACATACTGAGATTCTGCAGGTAACAACCAACATGGCTCTAATTAGTCTTACTATTATCAAGTCACAGAACAACAAATAGCTGTAATAAAACAACTAGCTGGTAATAAAATCTGATATAGGTTATGTTGTTCAAAAGACAGTAGAGGGAAGGAATCCAGACATGGTAGACAGCTCAAAGGACAGTTCTCTTAAAGGTGAGAAGATCACCTTGTACTCACACCAATATTTGTAAAACCTTTCATTTCTTTATTCTGCTGGAGACTACAGAAAACTGTGTTGCTATTTAGATTGATGCATTTAGAAACCACTAGGTGTAACTATAAAAACCTGTCAATCTTAGAAGAAAAGTTTGCTTAAGTATACAAAAACAGAATGAAAGACAAATACTTTAAGACTGGAGAGATGGCTTAGCAGTTAAAAGTACTTATTGCTCTTGCAGAGGAACGAGGTTCCATCCAAAAACCCTCATGATGAGCACACCAACTGTAAAACCAGTTCCGGGGATCCCATGCCCTCTTCTGACCTCTAGAGGCACCAAACACACATATGCTACACAGAACTACACACAAATGATATAATGAATAAATATAATTAAAATTAAAAAAAAAAAGATTTATTTTGAGAGCCATATTTAAGTTCAGTGCAGACTCACCTACACCAACACCGTCCTTGACAAGTACTGAGCAATGCTGCTCCCAGCAGCTTCGGCAAAACTGATGTTGGCAGGCCAGAGAGAGCAGGTTTTCCTTCCGCACAAACTGCATACACACTGCACAGTGGTGAGGGGGATGGGCTGTGGGGACCTAGAGAGTGAGCGAGATGTAGCCACATAAGCCAAAGACAGGCTCTTACCAATAATTCAGTCACACTGCAATTTGTGAAGGGCAGTGGATTTTCCAGATAAATATGCCCAAATTACAAGACTAGCTTCTGGGGTTTTCTGATACTTAGCAGAAGACCTGGATTAGGTTCCCAGCACCCATGTGGCAGCTCACACCCATCTCTAGCTCTAGTTTTGGAGGATTTGATGCCCTCTGCTGATCTCCATTCCCATCAGGCATGCATGTATGCTCATGGTGGCACATGCCTTTAACCCCAGCACTCAGGAGACAAAGGCAGGCAGATCTCTGTGAGTTTAAGGACAGCCTGGTCTACATAACAAGACCCTGTAAAAAACTAAATAAATAATAAGATTAAAAAAAGAAAGAGAGGAAAAAAGGGGACAATTAGGAGCTAAATAAGGATCTTGGGCATACTCTATAGCACAAAACAAAGCTGGTGCTAACCCTGTAAGACACAGAGAGCCATGACCATCCAATGAAGCCTCACTAAAGCAGGAGACACTCACATGTTTTGATGGATTAGGCTGAACTCGAGAATCAACAAGCAACTGAGCAGAATTAGACCTGTACCTACAAAACAAAAAGGCAGAATTACAGAGAATCAGAAGCTGGAGACATTTTTAACTCTCGATAACAGAACCAACCATCACATGCTGTGGTTGCACTAAAGCGCCTTTTACCGTGTCAGCACAACGGTCCAGGTCTATGATCCTAACACTCAGCAAGCTCAAAGCCAACGTAGTGACATAGTGAGCTTGAGGTTATTGCTAATTGTTTCATTATTGAGCCAAGTTTCCTTTTATCTCAATATAAATGTCCTTTTCTTTCTGAGGGGTAGGCAGGGGCAGGAAGGTTGGGGACAGAGTTCCACTATGTAGCCTTGGCTGTTCTAAAGCTCACTATGTAGACCAGGCTGGCTTTGAACTCATGGAGATCTGTCTGTCTCTGCCTTCTAAGTGCTGAGACTGAAGGGTGTGCCACTATGTCCAGTTGGTTTTGTTTGTTTTTTGAGACAAGGTTTCTCTGTGTTTCAGAACAGCCAGAGCTGTAGAC